CAGGGGCCACGGGACTCTGGTACAGGTGACCCATGGCCACGCCCCCATCTGTCGCCTGCTGCCGCACTGCTCCTCCCGGGAACGCGCGTCCCGAGCTTCTCGGTCCCCTCCCCCTCCCCTCTCTCGCGGGTAAACTCCGGGCATCCATCAGTCTGTTAATTGCACTAATTAGAGATCGCGGAGGTGTTAATTGGAAAACCCTGGTATTGTGCCTGTTTGGGGGAAGAAAACGTCAATAAAAATTAATTGATGAGTTGGCAGGGCGGGCGGCGCGGGTTCGCGGCGAGGCACAGGGTGTCGTGGCAAATGTTACGGCTCAGATTAAGCGACTGTTAATTAAAACGCGACGGTAATTAATACTCCCCACGCCATATGGGCCCCCGAAAAGGCACAAAAGGTTTGTCCACGTGTAGGACTCTGGTGTCTTTTCCTCTCCTCCTCCCAAAAGCACCCCAGGTCCGGAGTGCCCCTTTGGCCTCCAGCTAGGTGCAACTCGTCACTTCCGGCAGGGAGAGGACGGGGCGGACCCTGACTGGTTCCAAGAAGGAGTTGTTGCCTTCGCTCCCACTGGGGTGCATCATAGAGGCAAAAGCGTCAGGGAAAAGTGGGAACCCTCGGATGGCCACGGAGTTCCCCAAAGCGGAAGAAGTGGCTATGGCTTTCACCTAGCTTCCTTCCGAGGACGCCTGCTGGAGCCCGGGCCAGACTGTGACTCCCTAGTGCTCCAACTTCAGCCAGGGAATTCGGAGTATGGAAGACTAGGATCCACCCACCTGTAGCCATCCAAATCCTGAACCCCCCCCCCCAAACACACACACACACACACACACACACACACACACACACACACACACACCCTGTAAATGGTCCTCCACTACAGGAGGGTGGTGAGGGAGTGGTCTGGAAATTCTGGCATGAAGTGAGAAGCCCAGTCTTAGTAATTCTTAGGGAAATTTGAAAATGTTTGGTATCCACTCCTCAGTGGCTTTTGGGGGTAGGGAAAAACAGAGTGTGCTGGCTGTTAGTTGAGGTTGGCCTTGAAGACCTGCTCCCCCTCCCCCTCCTCCTGATGAGTACAGGGAAGCACCCACCAAGCCTGGAGGGATTACTATGTGAAGAACGGCCCAGCCACTTGCCCAGAGACACACAGCTGGGCCTAAGTGGCCTAATCTCAGCTTGTGTCCTCCCCCCCCCCCCTGCTGCAAGTGTTACTCGCGCTAAGGGGAGGGTGACTCTGTATACAGGGGGGGGGGGGGTGGAATTTGTGCTGTCTGCCAACTGGGATCCTTGTTGAGTGGAGCCTTTGGGACAAGGGACTAAGCTGTGACTCTAATGGCCTCCTGGTGGCCCCCAGCAACACCCAAATACTGTGACTTTACATCCACCAGCTAGGCTAGGGAGTTCCTTCACCCCCACCCAGGAGCTTCTGAAACTATTTTCTCATGGAGAAAAGGGAAACCGAGGCCCTGAGATGTAGGAAGGCAAAGGACTCATAGCTGGTTTGTCCTTTGACTCAGAGCGTAGGCTGTCATCTCTCCTAGCCAGGGGCGTAAGATGCACCGGTGGTTTACCCCTGCCCCCTCTTAGTTACTAGGCATTGATAACAAAATGTACTCCAAGCTCCCCACCTCACTCAACCTCTGGCTGGCTGGGCCCCAGACGTTAGTGCCTGCTCGCCTGCGGTACAGGGAACTCCCCATCTTCCTTACAACACTGCTGAGAGGTGGGTAGGAGTTGTGAGCCGGGAGGCTTTTGGCTGTCGGTGTGCTCAGGCTTGGAGGGTAGGTGTGCCAGGGCAGAGGTGAGGATTCCTAGAGGGCCTGGAAGTTCCTGCCCTGTGGGTTTGAGGGGCTGGTGTTGGTGGGTGGGCCAGAACCTGGAAGGAGGTGTATGGGTGTGTGTCAGCGGGCAAAGGCCCCTGGAGCACACGCCAGAAGGGAATGGCCGCTATTCATACACCCAGCGGAAATGACTTTTCAAATGCATATAATCTCAAGCATGCAAATGAGAGGCTTGTTCAATATGAATGATCGGCCCTTGAATAGCTATTATTACATGGCACATTGCCACAATTATGTTGTTCACTTGGTATCGCTCTGCCCTGCCCCCCTCCCTGCTCTCCCCAAACGATGGGAAAGGAAAGGACACCTCTGCCAGCACCCCCCTTCCTTTCATTCTCCCTTTTCCAAACTTGCTGTCAGAGCTACAACTTTGTTGTGTTCTGTGAATGTTGGAAGGGGACCACTTTCCCTTCCCTGGGAGAAATAGCTGCCAGATTTTTCTTGCTTTCTCCTGGCCGCGCTCACACCCGGGAGGCTTGTCTTTGTCCCCTGGGGCCCAGGAGTTCTCAGATCTCTGAGCAGCTAGTCTGGGATTCTGAGCTGAAGCTGCTCTCTGCCCCAGCAGGGCTGGAATTGGAGGCGAGGGAGAACTGAGTGGGCAGTGGGCTCCCACTGTCTTCCCATTCCCTCACCCCCAGCTGAGGTCCAGGCCTGAGTGGGGGAAGTTACTCTTGTAGTTTTCAGGGTGGGTAGTTTCAGGGGAGGGGGCTGAAGTCTGTGCTGTAGTGGGTGGAGGCCAGAGCCCACCCATCCATCATTTGGCAGCTACAAGCCCTGGGGCTGACACAGCTATTAAAGGCTGGGGACCGAGTGCTCAATCTCTTCCAAACTGTCACCTCCACGCTCTACCCCTGCTCTAGCTCCTCTCACTAGAACATTAAGGCCACTTCAGCAGTTCATGGACTCCTTAGGATCCCTCTCCTAGTCCACTACAAGAGAGACAGTCCAGAGTCAAAAACTGAGGTCTCCTGAGCGGTGGTGTAGCCCCCTGTGCCCCCTTTTCTCTCTCTGCTCCAGCATGGGTGAACAATTGGCGCAGGAGAGAGAGGGAAAGGCTTAAAAGTAGGGATGGGAGGAAGATAGGACTGGGAGCCTCACCGTGGGAAGAGGAGTATTTCAGCCACTTTCTACAGGTTCCTGAGTCTGTTACCTGAGAAAGATGTGGTTATCTGGCTGGTTTCTTCAGTTCTTGTTGGATGTTTAAGTGACTTGATCCCTATGTGACTTCAGACAGATCATTAGCTCTCTGAACCTTGTCACCTCTGCCTCGCTTGCGGTGGGTGGGGAATGAGCTGATGAGGGCTAGCCTGGGCAGGTGCCCTCATTGTCTGTAAAGGACTGCGAGAGGATAGGATGAAATACTTAGACCAGGAAAGTTTAGGGCATCTGAGACATACGTTAAACAGCAGTCTGTGGTGGGTGCCAACTGTTCCCTTTAGGGTGGTTATTCATGGGATAATATAGAGTCCAGAATTTGAGGAGAGCTTGGTGTGTGTGTGTGTGTGTCCGTGTGTGCACATGCTAGTGAGTGCTGGGGCGTGAAGCAGGGTCTTACTGTACCACTCAGGCTAGTCTTGAACTTGTGATCCCTCTGCCTCATAGTCCCAGGATTGCATGCATGCGCCTGTGGTCAAAGGCATGCACTGTCCCCCTAGTTTCAGAATAGCTTTTTATGCTAACACCCCCCCTTCTGAAGTGTGTGTGCCAAGCTGGTGGGATGCGCTGCAGCTGGGGAAGGGACCCCTCACCCCTTGCTCTCCCTGCTGTTCACCTTCTCTCTGGGGATTTACAGCACTCCAGGTTTAAGAAGGGGGCATTGGGCCTTGATCCTGATGCTTTGGATAAGATACCTGATTCGGGGCTTAAGAACTGGTTGTTCTTCCAGAGGACCCTGGTTTGATTCCCAGCCCCCACATGGCATCTCACAATTGTCTGTAACTCCAGTCCCAGGGGCTCTGATGACTTCTTCTGGATTCTGCATGCACATGCTGCACAGATATACATGCTGACAAAACACCATGTACATAAAATAAAAATAAATATATTTTTAAAAGACCCGATTTTTAATTCGTTTGTTTATTTGGCTTTTCTTTTCAGATGTGTGTGTGTGTGTGTGTGTGTAGATGCACACTTGTGTGGGTGTCTGTGGCAGCCAGAAGAGGGTGTCACATCCCCTGAAGCTGGAGTTGTGAACACTCTTACTTGATTGCTAGAAACTAGCAGCCAGGTCTCTTAACCTCTGAGCCATCTTTCCGGCCCTGCGTTTTTGTTTTTGAAGCAGGTTATCCTGTAGCTCAGGCTGGCCTGGGACTCCTCCTACCACAGCCTCTCAAACTCAGATTATGGGTGTGACAGGGTTTTTTTTCCATCCTTCCCCACCCCCGTTTACATAGTGCTGGGAATGGGAACCAAAACACACACTCTCCCCTTGAATTACAGTAATCCCATTTGGGGGTGACTCTTGCTAGGGCTTGGACCTAGGGCATTCAACAGGCTAAGTCTTTACCTAAGCCTGTACTACCAGCCTCTGTTTTACTGTCAGTAAAATGGGTGTTGAACACAGACCTCACTGTTCTGAGGAGGACTCTTGGGCTGTGGGTAGTAATAAATGAGAGATAAGAGTTACTTCGGTAGCTGAACTGAAGTATGACCGCAAGTAGTGGACCCCAGGATGCCTTCCTAGGGCTTAGGGCAGTTACTTTGCTGTGTTGATTAGGGCCTGCTGTGTCCTGGGGAAAGCAACCTCTGCCCCCAGGGAACTCATACCTACAATGGGAACAAAGGCAAGGGCCATTACTGGTGAAAGGGAAGAGGTTTGGTAGGTCCCAGCTAAAAGGAAAGACCAAAACAGGTTTAGGACCCCGAGGGAACAGGGAAGAGCTCCTCTCCTACCCTCCCCCATCTACTCTTACTGGGAGCAGGGAAAATGGGAGGTTGCGGGGTAGTGGCCCCAGCTTCCTTACACAGCGCTCCTTAAGCAGCTCAGAAAGGGGTGGCCCTGAGAGGGCCTCTGGAGGAGTCTCTGGGAAACTGAAGAGAGAACCCTAGGACAGGGGTGGGTGAGGTGGGTGGGGGCAGCTTTCAGTTGTAGTCCCAGGTAGAACCTGCCCTGGAAATCTGCCTTTGCGCCTCAGCCCCTCCTCCACGTCTCTTCTCCAGGTCCCAGTAGAACGACATGATGGTGGAATCTGCATCGGAGACAATCAGGTCGGCTCCGTCTGGTCAGAACGGCGTGGGCAGCCTCTCTGGGCAGGCTGATGGCGGCAGTGGGACCGGGACCGCAGGCACGGCTCCGGCCGCGGGAAGGGACGGCTCAGGCAGGGATGCGGCCAGCGGAGCTGACAGCAATGGCGAGATGAGCTCCACCGAGCTTCTGCACTTCCAACAGCAACAGGTAGGCTGACCTCCCAGGCTTTTAGCCCAGACGCTCTCCACCCGGGTGTTGCTGCTCTGTCCAGCCTAGCACCCTGGCTTTTAGATAGTGAGAAGGGACAGCCTCCAGGGACTAGCTAGCCTGAACCTGGTACTGGGGGCTCAAGTTTATGAAGTTTGAAATAGTCCCAGCAAAGCCATAAGGACTGACAGCCGCCTGGGCTTTGAAAGTCTGTTTTGAGTGGGTGGATGTCTTGGCACGTGGCTGGAAAACTGGCTGTATTAACAGGTTTGGGAGTGTGTGCTATGCACACAGGGGTGTCTTTATTTGTACTGTGAACCAAGGCTGTGAAGAGGTTAAGTGGCCAAAGAATCTGGAAAGAGGCCCAGGAAGGGAGGGGAAAGGTACCTGCATACACACACACACACACACACACACACACACACACACACACACACTTGTTTGTTTTTTTTTAAGACAGGGTTTTTCTATGTAACAGTCCTGGCTGTCTTGTAGATCAAGCTGGCCTTGAACTCATAGAGATCCACCTGTCTCTGCCTCTCAAGTACTGGGATTAAAAGTTTATGCCACCACCACCCAGCTTATTTGTATATTTTTAATTATGGGTATATCTGCATTCTGCACACAGTATGTGCTTGTGAGTTCAGGTGCCTGCAGAGGCTCCGAGTGTCAGACACTGTGTGACAGGAATTGTAGACAATTATGAACCACCTGATACAGGTGCTGGGAATCAAACTCAAGTCCTTCACATGAACAGCAAATATTCCTAACTGCTAAGCCATCTCTCCAGCCCAGACTTGTATTTTATTTTAAAGGCTCACACTAGGGGCCCAGTCTGTGTCCCCTCTTTTATGCCTATAATCTCCACCTTGAAGGACAGGGCACTAGGTGGAGAACCTAGTTAGATTACGAATGAGCAGATCCCCAAGGGTCGGGGTGGAGGGGATTGGGCTTGAAGGGTTCAGAAGAACAGGCCCAGCCAGCCCTGGCCTAGCCAGCCCTGGCATTGGGAGGCATCTTGTTTGACTTTGCCTCTTGAACTGTTGCTGGGAAAGTAAAACAGGAGGACCCCGGATGCTCCATACCGTCCATCCTTCCCTGTGCAGCCAGGGCCTTGGTGCCTTGCAGACATGGCTCTCCCCCAGGCTCCTCCCCTAGACCACACCACATCCTCAGGGTTGTTCCTGAAGCAGCTCACTGATGCTGCAGGTGATCGGCCCCATCAAACAGGGACCTGTCTCGAGTCTCAGCCAGCATCTTAGCAGCCACATACCCTTGGCCACTAAAATACTGAGTTGTTAGGACCAGAAGCAGCCAGTGTGACACTCTTCACATGTGTGAATAAGTAGGTGTGAACAAGTAGGTGTGAACAAGTTAACAGTTTCTGCGTGTGTTATTGGCTTGTATGTGCTCCTGTCCTGTATACAGAGGGCAGAGATGAATTTAGGGTACCTTCCTTAGTCACTCTCCGTCTTTGTGGGGTTTTTTTGTTTGTGTTTGTTTGTTTTGTTTTGATACAGGGTCTCACTATTAGCAGTGGCTGGCCTGGAGCGTGCTATGTAGATCAGGCTGGCCTGGAATTCACAGAGATGAGCCTGCCTCTCTGCTGAGATTAAAGGAGGAAGCCACTATACCTGGCATCTTATTTCTTATATTGTGTGTGTGTGTGTGTGTGTGTGTGTGTGTGTGTGTGTGTGTGTGCGTATGCGTGTGTGTGTGTGTGTGTGTGTGTGTGTGTTCACATGCCACAGTACATGTATGGAGCTTTGGAGAATCAGTTCTCTGCTTCCATCATGTGGAACCCAGGGATCGAACTCAGATCTTCAGGGATATGATCCTTGGGAGTTGGTGGTATTGTCATCATCCTTCTTAAGCAGAATCTCTGGGAAGAGAGAGCCACTGAGTCTATGCTTTCTGCTGGGACAGAATTCTGCTTTTTATCAAAATATAGCTAAAGATGGACTCTTGCAGAGGACTTGATTCATAGCGCCGACATGGCAGCTCAAACATCTGTAATGCCAGTTTGGGGCTTCAGTTCCCTTTTCTGGCCTCTGTAGACACCTGTATTCCTGTGTGTATACACACAGCACACACACACACACATACATAATTAAAACTCAATCTTAAAAAATAGGCCCTTAGAAGTTTTCCAAGGTCACATTGTTTCGGACCTTCTGCATCTCTTTGCAAAGAGAAAACTATGCAAAACTTCAAATGTGGCATGAGGTTGGAGGAGCCGCCTAAACTGGAAACTTTAATAAAACAAAACCAAAAACCTTGGGACCAGCAGAATGACTCAGAGGCTTACCGCCAAAGTTGAGTTCGATTCCCTAGGACCCACAAGGTGGAAGAAAAGACCTGACTCCAGCAAGCTGTCTCCTGACCCCCACACATGCACTGCGGCTTGTGTACACACATACATATCCACAAACTAAGTAAATAAAATGTAATTTTCAAAAGGAAATTAGAAAGCTCGCCATGAGGCATAAACACAGGCCTCTGGGTGCTGGGGAGATGTTTGGGCGGGAGAGGCAGAACCATCTGTACCGATCAAGTTTCTAAGCTCTGCCCTGCACACGGGCCGTGACGTACCATCTCAATTCCACGTTCCAGTTGTTCCCGTTTGTTTTGGGGACCATCCCAAAGTCCTGGAAAATTCTGTATCTACTTCACAAATAATCTGGGACGGGGATTTACAGGCAGGCAAGGGGCCCGTTTTATCCATTTGGGCTCCCCGTGGAGAAGTGCCCAGGCCCAAGGAAAATATGTGAGACTTAAAAAAAAAAAGGTTTCATTGACTTTAAACTTCAAAAATAACACTGCAAAATTAAAATTATAAAATTTTCAATTAAAGCAAAACATAGCCTGTGGGTCATTCTTCCACTTCCAGCAGATGACTTGAGGCTTTGGGGGAGAACATTCAGCAATTCTTGGGCCCCTCCCCCCGAAAACAGATGTTATTGTTGGCGGGGTAAGCAAGATCAAGAAAGGGAGGTTGATCTGTTGGTTCCATCTGCCTTTCAGCCATAAGCAGGACGTCTGCAGAAGACAGCTTTTGGGTTCACTGTGTCATTAAATGTCATTAAATTGCCTCAGCATCCCTGGGGAGAGAGGCCATGTCATTCCCACTTTGCAGATGAGGCCGCCAGAGGCAGCACTGACAGCCTCCAGACTGTTGTTCCGGGCTCAGCTCTCTGCTCCTTGGTTCCACTACAGCCACAGTGGCCTGGGTGATGCGGGAGGAAGAACTTCTCACACACAGTAGGTGCGAAGTACGTGTGTGAGTCTTGGTGAGCGAGAACGAGAACACCTCCTGCCTGGCTAAAAGAGTCCCTTACAACAGAAAAGAAAGTCAGGACCCAGGAAACGATGGCTCACTGGGTAAAATTACTTGCTGAACTCAAGCCCTGGTGGAAGAAGAAAACCAGTGGTTGGAAGTTGTCCACACACTTGCAATGGGACAACTGGGCACCTGCTCACGCGCGAGCGTGCACACACACACACACACACACACACACACACTCTCTCTCTCTAATAATAATAAGTTAATTTGAGAAAATAGAGGAGGGGAGTAAATTTAAAGCCATGTATAGTACAGGAAGCTACAGCAGGAGGATCTCAAGTTTAAGAACAGTCTGGGCTACTTGGTGAGACCCTGATTCAGACAGAGCCCTGGGGCTCTGGAGATGGCTGAGTGGGGAGAGTGCTTGCTCTAAAGCATGGGAGCCTGAGCACCCACAAAAAAGTGAATGCTCTAATATATAACACCTATAATCCCAGCCTAGTGTGTCTGGTAAGGGGAGACAGGAGTCCCTGGAGCTGGCTGGCCAAACTATAGTCCAAACTGTAAGGCCCGGGTTCAGCGAGAGACGCTGTGTCTGAACATATGATGGGGTACTAGGCATATTATATACATGTCCGTAATTCTTGAGAAAGAGATAAATAAAAAATTTTAAAGTGGTGTGGCAAAGCAATTGAGGGGAACATCCCAATGTCAACACCTGTCTTCATCACATGCCTGCACAGATGAGCACAAATTGCACACATGTGAGCACACACAACACACACACTCGCACAAGCATCCCTGCTGATCATGGTAGCACATGTCAGTACTTAGGTGGGGTGGAGGCAGGACATGGAGAAATCCAAGGTCATCCTTAGGTAGAGTTGGAGACTAGCCTATATGAATTCTGTGTCAAAAAAAGAAAAAAAGACTGCAAGGAAGACCCTACACACTGCCCTAAGCGACCACTCCAGTGCCTGCTTGAGGCAGAGGTTTGACAGAAAGAGTCTGCAAATGACATTCTGTCCTTCTGCCCTACGAGGGTCTCCCCGCCCCAATCCCTTTGTCTGTGGGTCCCTGTCTCTTTTGTAAACAAGTCCTGGAAATGCGGTCCTGGCCTTTAGGAGTAATGAGTTGAGAGACAGCCAGACAGGGCGAGTCAGGAGTCAGGCGGTTGACAGGACTTTAGGCTGGAGCAAACAGCGCTGAAGAGGGCAGCCACGTCACTTTGGAACAAGAGCTGGTGCGCTGTTTCCATGCAACAGCAGGCTGGGACCTTGTTTAAACAGAGGTGAGGGGGCGACCCAGCTCAGCTGCCAGGCCAGTTCTGGCTGCACAGAGTCCTTGCTGACTGCCCCATTTCAGTATTTCCCAGAGCTCTATTATCTGCCTGGGGCCTCGCGTGCCTTCTACAGCCACACTCTCTGGAGACTGTCCCATGAGGGTGGTGTGGGAGGGCCAGTTGGTGGAGTGCTTTCCCTCCCGTGTGATGCCCTGGGTTCGAGCCCTGGCTCAGCATAAACTGGGTGTGAAGCCGCTCACATGGTGTGAAGTCACTCCTGTGCCTCGTACACCAGTACTTGAAAGGTGGGGACAGGAACCTCAGAAGTTCAAGGTCATCTGCTACCACTGAGTTGGAGATCAGCCTGAGCAAGTTGAACCTTGTTCTGCCTCTGCTGCTGAAAATGCTGTGGGGACCCACAAATACCTGTCGGACTTGGGCTGTGGAAGGTGTACCCCTGCCCTGGTTTTGGAAGGTCTTAGGGACTTCTGGTTTTGCTGGCAGATAACTGGATTTGGGGCCAGGAGGGCTGAACTAGCAGGGTGGGGGTAGGCAGAACCAATGGCCACTGAGCTGAAAGGCGTCCTGGGCCCCCAGAGCCAGCATTCCCATTGTCCTTGGGTTGCAGGGGTGACAGGTCAGAGAGGGTCACCAGAGGGTTGCCTAGCGTCTGGGAACTCCCACTGCAGTTGCCGTGGCAACCGGGCCAAATCCCACCCCGTCCACATCCTGTGAGGAGTTTCAAAAGGGTTGGGGGGCTCAGTCTAGTAATGGGCTTTTAACTCACCCCCTCCTAAGAGTTGGGGGTTGGGGAGTCAGGGAGCTAGGGGGAGGGGAGGAGAAGAATGGAAAGAGGCTTTCCTCCATCTGGCTCTCCTCTGCCAGGCTACTTAGGAGAACTGAGTGTAAAGGGAGCTTCCAGAGGGGATCAGCCCCGCCCCGCCGCCCACAGGCTGCCAACAGTTGTCTGAAGCCTTCCCGCTGGTCAGTACTCCAGCCTCACGCCCTGGATTCCTCTGTGTCAGCTTTGGTCCTATAACTAAGTTCTCTTTGTCCATCTGGAGAAGGAGTCCCTCCCCAGAGGAGCTGGGATGAGCAGAGAAAAACCACCCAGGGATCGGGAGTGCTCAGAAGTAGATGGGGAAAGGCAGATGAGAAGCCGGGGGCTGGAGGGATTGGGGGTCATGGCTGCCCGCCACTTCAAGGTCCTTTAGGAGAGAGGAGGGGGCCCAGTGCCTGGGGGAAATCTCCTGACTGTTCCTTCTCTCCACAGCAGAGCGTTAGCCCCCACTGAGGAGAACGGTGGGCGGAGGGTTTAGGGGGAGGGTTGTAGTAAAGAGGGTTGTATGTATCCCAATCACCCATGGGCTCCCGTGGAACCTGACGTGTGAACTGGTGTTGCTCTGAAATGCCCTAGTAGGATCCCTGAGGGCTGTATTTGCTAGTTTCTGGTCTAAATCCAGCACCCTGTAGAAGTGGCTGGGGCCAGGCAGTGTGAAGTAGACCCACTTCTGGAGAGTTCTACAGCGAGGACAGAGGACCTGGCTAGGAACCATGCCGATCTCCCCCTCACTTTCGCTCCTTGTCAGTGCCTGGATGCCATCCCTTCAGACCAGAACCATGCCGAGCTGGCTCTGGATGTCCCTCGGAGCCAAGCTGCTGAAAAGGCACCTGCAAGGGGAAGACGCAGGAGCCTTCCACGGACAAAGTCCCTTCTATGCCACTGGCCCATGGCTGTCCGCACCTGCGGAGGCCAACCTCTCATGAAGCGAGAACCTTCTGTAGAGTTGGCGGCAAGGGCCCTGAATCTGCGAACGTCCTGGGGATGTCTCCCACCTGGGAGGGCCTGTCTGTGTCTGTGCTTCGCTGGTTTTCATTTTAATGGTTCTAATTTGAGAATGTGCCGATGTCATTTTTACGAGGTTGGTGTAAAAAAAATTTACAGCCTTTTCCAAAAAGCTTTCTTTAAAAAAAAAAAAAAAGATCCAAGGGAAGAAAAGTAGAATCACTTTGGGGGTTTTATAGTCTCCCCCCCCGCACGCTTTCCCCACACCCCCCCCCCCCCGGTGTAATTTCATCTTTACGTCTCCTCACTGGAGGACAGAGCCTTGCTGGTCGAGAACCTGTGTCCCCCTAGGTTAGTTCTGTCTGCGGTGGCAGCCTCTGATGCCTCCTCCCTGCTGTCCCCTCCTTGGATCTGTCCAGAAGGAGTTTTGTGGGCTGGATGAGTGTTTAGGGAACTCTTATTAGACACCTGCTGTTTACTAGCAGGGGTCAGGTATCACTTTCTGCTCAGTCTCCCAGAGATCGCCCAGACCAGGTGCTCAATGGGGTGAGCTTCGTTTGACGTGTCTGGCGCTCTGGTGCGTGCCTATATTAAAAACACTTGAGACGCTGAGGCAGGAAAGTCGTGGGCTCAAGGCTAGCCCACAGACAGCAAGGCTTTGTCCTAGGAAAACAATCAGACGGGGCTAGAGCTGGCTCAGTGGCTTAAGAGCACTGACTGCTCTCCTAGAGGACTAGGGCTAGGTTCCCAGAACCCATATGGTGACTCACAACTGTCTGTAATCTGATGCCCTCTTCCGGCCTCAGTGACACCAGGCACGGATGTGGTACATGCAAAACCAAACAAACAAGACCATACACATTTTAAAAAATTATTTAAAACACCAAACAGATTAGGGCCATGATTCAGTAAAGTACTCGGCATACTTCATTATTAAGACCTGAGTTCTGATCCCCGGTGCTCATTTAAAAAGCCTGGCATCTCTGTGCTGGAAAGGCAGAAACGGGCAGGCTTTTGGCTAGCCAGATTAGCCAAATCGGCAAACTCAGGAGAAGCCCTGTCTCATAAAACAAAGGGAGAACTACTGATGCCAGAATTGATTGCTGGTCTCCACATACAGGCTCGTGTGTGTGTGTGTGTGTGCGCGCGCGCGCGTGTGTATGTGTGTGTGTGTGCGCGTGTGCGCGCAGGAACACAGAGGAAGCAAAAAACAAAAACCACCCTGCCCTTATTTAATGGGGTCGCTCCATGTCTCTAAAATTCAGCCTCAGCCTGCTTCTCGGTTGGGAGGGGCGCGTGGGGTGTGTGTTTAGAGAGAAGAGGGCTCGCTGTGCAGCCCAGGCTGGTCTCAAACTCCGGATCCTCCTTCCTCTGCTTCCAGATGCTGGAATTAAAAGCACATGCCACCTGGCTGGCCTGTGTATAGTTTATGGTCCACCTCATGTTTTGCTTTTTCTACCTCAGGACCTTTGCACTCTCTGCTTTTCAGCCTTGAATACTCCCTGGGAAGAGTTAGCTGCTTCTGCAGTGGGGTGTCTCTTGGCCGTGTTTTATGTAGCTCGCTGTCCTCAGCGTAAGGCTTCGCTGTGTTCGGTTTTGTCTGGTGGTCATGTCAGCCCACTCAACAGGGAGCTCAGGCAGTTAAGAGTTCCTCCTTCAACTTGACCATGGCTCCTGGGACTACAGGTCAGTGACTAGATTGTCCTGGGCCTGAAACTGACAGCCTTTCCTAAGATCGCTTCTCAGATTTGAGACTCGGAGAGGAGGCAGCAGTCCTGGACCCCTTGTGGTCCCCCCTTCTCCCCCAGCCTGCCCCCAGCACATTGATGATAAACACAGGACCAATAAGGTGCCTCAGGGGTTAAAGGAACTTGCCCTGTGAGCTTAGTGACCTGAGTTGACCCCTGAAGCTCACATAAATATCAAATATGGATAGGGCTGAGTTCCAGTTTTGCCAAAAAGTTTCCAGGGATAGAGAAGAAAGTGTGGATTTCCAGAGTTAGACCAGCAAGTTTAGGGTTGACTATGCATGAACACAGTTCCCTGGTTTGGAGTCTCTCTCCCATCACCCTCTTGGCTCTTGGAGTCTCCTCCCATTACCCTGCTGGCTCTTGCTCCTTTTTCCTGCAGAACTAGGTCTGGTGGGCTTTAGTTCTCCTTGTGCTGCTGTGTCTCTGGGTAAGCCCTAGGCCCCTTTCTGGATCTCCATGTTCTTCTCCTCCTCCTTTATCTATTTAGTTTCACTTTATTTGCATTGGTGTTTCACCTGCGTGTGTGTCTGGGTCTGAGCTGGTACCTTGGGCCCTGTTCCGTTGTCTGTAAGGTGAACATAGTTACGCCCACCCTGTAGCTTAGTGTCTGGATGCTCTTGGACAGTTCTGTCTGCAGAAGGGCTTTGCCTCTGGCCCTCTGGACCTCGTGGCCGTCCTGACACTGCAGAAGCGCCTTCATAGGTTAACACCTTTGAACTTGGGATCACCCTCTGCCAACCTCCCATACTTAGCCTGGAACGAGACGGACTTTGTGTGCAGGGATTATGCCTACTGTGTGTTGGGGGTGGGACGCTCACAACTGAATTTGACATCCATGCTCTTAAGGGGCACCTGGCCCAGGGAGATGATTTAGTGGGTGAAGTGGTTGCTGTGCCCACCCTGCCCTCCTTAGTTCAGTCCCCAGCACCCATGTAAGGGTTAAAGGGGAAAACGGACTTCTCAAAGTTATCCTCTGTTATCCCTGTATTTACACTTGTGTGTGCATGTGCACACGTGCACAGACACACACACACACACACACATACACACACACTCACACTGGGTGGCTCCAGTTTGGGCAGCATCCCTGAAGGAGGTGAGCTGGGCTGTGAGGTCAGAGCCTGTTGTTTCCATGTCTCAGAGGCTATGGGTCCAGTGATTTCTTTGACCCTCCGTGGCAGGGACAGAAGACATTGGCCCTTGGTGCTTTACACTGATGGATGAAACTCAAACGACGCTTCAGTGCCTTTGACCTCCCTAGTCTATTGGACAAATGTCTACACAAAGACAGCTTATCTTGGGGGTTGCCCAAGGCTCCCAGGTGCATGAACAGCAGTTATTGTCCACCGAGTGGCATGTGGCATGCCATGGCCATTTGAGGAGGGGAGCTTAGACCACAGTCTTGGAGTTTATCCAGACTCATCATTTGGCACCTACAGCGTACTCGTTAGGTGATATTGCATCCAGATGGGTCAAGGCTTGCTCTAGGCAAGTATGAGAAAGGAACTTGCTTTGTCCCCATAGGCTTCCCATCCCTCCAGGGCCTTGGTAGGCTTCCCATGAGAAGGTGCAGCCTCAGGGCCCCGCATCCCGTCTCCAGCCCTTCTTGTTGCCTCCCTGGCACAGTGCAGCTTTCTGACTGACCTGGGAATTATTTCATGGCCTCCCGCCCCTGTCACAGTCAGTGTGCTGCCACACTGTAGGAGCACCTCCTCCTCTTCCTCGTCTGCTTGATGAGCAGACCCTTCAGGACTCCAGGCCCCCGGTGCCCCCATGCCACCTTCCCTGGGAGGCCTGCTCAGAGCCCCACAGCAGTGAGGGCCTCCCATGGGCCGAGGGTGGTTTTGATGGTCCAGTTCCCTGCTTCCTGAGCAGGCTCTTTAGATAACTCCTGCTCCCGGCAGCTGAACACCTGGGGCCAGGACACCTACCATGACCTAGCACACAGTAGGAATTTTGTCCATGCTAACAAAGGTGGGAGAGGCGGAGAGGGAGAGAAGAAACAGACAGCCCTGGGGGGACAGGGAGCAGTGAACCACTTCACCTCTCTCAGCTGGCCACAGCTCCCCACAGCAGGGTGGAGGTGGGGAGCGGAGGGTCTGTTGCCATCAGGAATGAGATTGTAGGACCCTGTCACACCACCACCCACACGCACCCCTGTAAATCTTGTAATTTCCTGCTCCAGGGAACCACAAAGTAGGAGGGTTAGTGAGGAGTGACTTCAACTCCCCTGGCTGCTCCGCAGCCCCAGAGACTGGGCCAGGCTCTCTCCGCAGCTGCCCTGAACTCCTCTGCTGTTGTTCCGCCCACATGGGGGGGGGTTGTCCCCCATCCCCTGACTAATGTCTCTTTTGAATCATCTGTGCTGGTCAGCTCTGGGGTCAGCCTCCACTCCCATCCCTTACCGCCTAGTCTCTGTGTCTTCGTGTGTCCCCCTCTCCCCCCGCCCTTCCATGGTGTCCCCTTAGAGGACAAGAAGTATTCTGTATGCCTAGACCTGGCGGCCAGTAAGAGCTAGGCAACGAAGGCCAGAATATCTTCCTGAGGTCCCTAGGCCACCTCCTTGCTTCTCCATATCTATTGCCATCCTCTCCTTTCTAGAGTTTCTGAGATTCTCTTGGCCCAGGAAGGTCCAGTGTCTGCTTCCTAAAGAAAACCCTTCGGAGAGGCGGTATCCGGACTCCACCTAGAAGTCTGGGACATCTGAAAGGAGGAGCCGGGCGGTGGTGGTGGTGGGGGTTAGGGAACAGGGCTGCCAAGGAGCACACGTTCCCATAGATACACCAGGGAGTACTTAGACGATGTCCTGAGGTAACCTAGACTGGAGCTCCAGAAGGCTGTGCCAGTCAACCCTGTGACGGGCCGCGCAGGTGGGCTGTGTATATATGGTCACACTGGGCACACAGTGGGCACTCGGGGTGTTTGCCAAGCTCTGAGCGTCCACCACACATCCATAGTACTGCTGCGGCCTAAGGACGTGTAGAAGCCCTGGGCTTGGGCCTGAGCATTGGGAACAGGAAGCAGGGAAACGGAGGGATGCTGGGGTAGGAGAATGGAATCCACGTGAGGAAGAAACAGGTGTGGGTGCCAGTGTACGAGCCAGCTACAAGTTGGGCACCTTCGTCTAACAAGTGTGGGCCGATGGGAGCGGGTAAGTAGCGAGCCACCTGGGAATTATTGAGAAGAAAAGGGTATACACTTCCTGAGTGCCAACGAGGCGCCAGCATTGGTCTTTAAATCTCTCCTCCTGATTCTGAAGTAGGTAGTGCCCCAGTTTTACCGCTGAGAGACGGAATGACTTACCCAAGGTCACAGCCAGACATCTCCAGGGCAGAGATTGCAGCCCACATCTGCCTGGTGCCAAAGCCTGGCCTCCAGGGCCTGACTACATCTGCTCTGGCTCTCTGGGAACCTGGAACTGACTGGACAGGTCCCCACTGTCACCACCTCCACCTCCACCTCCAGGTCTTGGGGACAGATCTTGGCTGGATCCCAGAGGAGCTGTTGACCCTTCAGTCTCCCATCAGACTTTTCACCACCCACGTACATTCATTGGCTGCGCCCCTCCCCCCC